AACCAAATAGTCACAGAAAGTAATTTAATGAGGACTGATTCATCATGTCTATCAGTGTTGAGGGTTTAATAGTAAAAGCTGTATTCCTGCAAAACATATTGGCTGCCAAACTTGACCAGATTAGCATACCTCCTGAATATATCATAATGCATACAGACATGCCATCCAATACTGAAAAATGTGCATTGTGCTGATAAGTGGCACTACACTTACATGGTACAATTTAGACAGGGTTTTACTTGATTATTTTCAAATTCTTCCTTGCATTGAGTCGTGATATTTCCAGACAGAATACTGCAATAGCTCCAAAACTCATAACGACCACCGGCCAGGCTGATTGTCTGTTTGTTCATTATTGCGTTATTCAAAACAACATCATGCAGAGGTGTTTGCTCTCTGTGTGCTTTTTGACATTGATTGTTGATTAGTAGGAGTTCTGTTCCTCTAGAGTAGAGCCTTGTTTTAATGAAGGTCTACATGAATAAACAATTACTTCACAGATCAAATCTTGTCTGAAATGATAATGTTGGGGTCATACGGTCACAGTGAGATAGTGAGTAAGCTGCCTCCCCCACAACCTGCAGGCTCTCACCCTCCTGCTGCCTCACATCAGATCTGAGGAGGAATGCATTACCACCATCAGAAAGGCATCTATCCAGGCTGCATGTCTTCAGGTCTTCTTACACTCACACACACACACAAAGGACTACAGTATACAGTAGAGGATCAACAACTACACCCCTCCCAACTCCTCTAAATGATATTTGTCACATCTGTTGCTACATCGGCCTCAGGCGGTTCTGCTTTGACTGCCGGTCAGTTTACTCTCTGTGTGTTTATGTTGAGAGGCTCTATTTATTCAGGTGTGTAACTGAAGCAGGAGAAACAGAGAAAGGCTGTATGCCGGGAAGCTGTCTTTCCTTGTATCCTTCAAGCAACAGTGTAAAGCAGAACAACTGTGGTTTCCAAACAAACAAAAAGCTCCACTCTGGTGAACCAAAGTTAAAGCTTTGTGTCAAATACAAAACATTTGCACGTACGAGGCTTCCCATGCTTGTTGTACAGGAAGATTACAAAATATGTCTACACCTTCATGTTGAGTGTTTATGGCTGCTTGTTTCTGGTGTATTCAACCTTTATAATTAACATAATACTGACTTTGTTCTTGTTGACTACACTACCTGCTCAACACTAAACCAACGACAAACACACTTAGTGACGGTCTGGTTACACAGTGCAGCATTTAGCAGCTAAAGAGCCAGATATATCATCTCACATAGATCTGCATCTGACTAATCACCCTGTTTGCACTAAACTCTCCTGACCTTTAAAGTCTGCTTTGGGCCTATTTCCTCAGTATTCATTAATAATATCGATATGAGGTGCACTCTATTTATCTTTGCTAGTTTCAAGGCCCTTTGACTGTATGTTGTTTCATTAATACCCTATAAAGGTATGATATGTGTGCACTGATATTGTCCAAAGAAACCACAAGATCGTTGTATATGGGTTTTGTTGTTGTTGTGTACTTACATTATTCAAAATTCTTCTTTTTAAGTCTTGAGGAATGTGTAATTTATATTAAATTAATTTTAATTATAAAACGGACAAGTCAAATCAAGCAATCTGATTGGTTCTTAGCCGTGATATACTGAGCGTATACCACGGGTAGAATTGTAAGTTACTTTTCACAACAAGTCAGTATCCCTCCGCGTCTGAGAAAAACAGTATACCGTACATACTTGAACAAGAAAGCAGCGGAGAAGTAACGGTGCAGAAGCCCTCCTTTTTGACGCAGCGGTCCAGACATAGACATCAGACGGCAAAACATATTCAGTGTGCAGTTCCTTTGGCATTAGGGCAGGGATATCTAGATACTTTTGAAGGTTTAACATAATGAATTGTGCTACTTTTAAAGCAAGCAATGATGTTTTCAAATCTGTATTCAAAGAGGTCCGCAAAAACGCTATCGACCAATCAGATTGCTTGATTTGACTTGTCAGTTTTATAAATATATTTAAATTTCTTCCGTTACGAAACAAACTTACAAAGCATAAAATGGAAACATTTAAGATTAACTTCGACCTCCGGGGGGGTCTTACTATAGTATGGAGGAGTGGATTGAGCAGTGTCTATCTCCAGAAAAAAAAGCACCTAAACTACGACATGCAGAGCTACGTGAAGAGAGGTAGACCAACTGGAAAAATACCACCATTCAAAAGCTTTCTGATGCGGGTCTTGAAACAAAGCAGAGAAATTATGACCGTTAGTGGCCACAGGTGCGAAAGCTCTCTCCAGAGCTACTGGAAGCCCAATCTCGGGGACCGGAGAAAGTGGAGCAATATTCTCGCCACGCCAAGCAACAGCCTCGAACAACCTCAACCTATACAAGTGACCACGTAAGCCATGCTACTGATGCTGGACAGTTTTTCAGTGGATGCACAATAAACAGCAACATACACATTAATGTAAATAAACAGCCAAATAATGGATCAACGCTCTCTGTCTAATATGTTCGCTTGCTGTTAGTGTTGTTGCATAGCAACCACCTTGCACTATGTTTTGTGCAGAAGGCAACGGAGGGACTATTTTATTTTGAACATCATTATTTACTAATAAAAACTATTTAAATTAGAGTGTGTATTTTTCTTTCATATTGCCACACTTGGTAACCGTTTTATAAAAGCAATAGCTTCGCGTCGCGTCGGGCCGAACCACGCCCCTTAGCTGTGATCTAATGAGCATACCACGGCCTGTCGTGAGCTATTGCTTAATTAGATTAACACTGAAGGAATCCTGACCATTAGAAGCTGACTGCAGTGGTAGTCAAAACAACTCACATGATGCTACACTACTTCCTGACATCACATCTTTGTTATTGTTTTTGATTGAGCAACACCCCCCATGTCTGGTCTAAAGAAAAGGCCCACCTCCTCCAGTTGTTGACCTTTACCGCCACATAAACACCTGCTTCTGATTACCTCATCAGTTCCCTTTGCGGGTCTGCCCTTCAGCACATTACTCCTGACAGATTCTGCCTCGCAGCCATAGTGTTCCAGCTTTGTTGTCTTGTACTGCCTTTTTATTTTTGAGCCTTTGATTGTTTGATCCCAGCAAGTTGTTGGACTTCTTCCTGCACAATCTCTTGGTTTTGTAGCTGCTGACAGCTGACCTGTATCCTGCCTGTTGACGAGGTAAATCCTGCTTTCATCCCTCTACAGCTGTCTGAGGAGTCTGCTGCGCCTCTCAAGTCAGAACTGTTGGAGAGAATAAAACATACACAGCAACTGCTTGATGTAAAATCGTACTAAATGTGATCAAACATTTGATTCCCCATCCTATTTAGTTTCAGACTAGATCAGATAATTCATATACTTTTCCAGGAACTTTATCATCTTAATATTGTTGTGTGTAAAACACAGACACATTCCCCCTGCTGCTCTAAACACTTTATGTAACATGAATGGATGGATCAAACAGAGGAGCTTTATCCAGCTTGATGTTTATAGCTTGCCATATGTTTCCAGTTTGTGCAAAACATGATGAGAGCCGTATCTGAGACCACCCTGTGTAATTACCCACTACAGGATGTGCAGTAGAGGGTATCGCAGCCCAGGGGCCAGTAATGTAATCACCTGAGTGAAGTAATCACAGTGGGCTCTTACACTCTCTAAGACTGAGAATACAATGGAAATGCATCAATTCAGAGCCCCTCTCTCTTGAAATGTACTATATTTATTGTTAAAAGTAACCTTTTGGAAATGATATTCCCATACTGCATTAACGTCACCCTCTAGTATTTTATTGCATGTGGTTTTTTGGAATTACTTACGCGATTTAATTGAAAACTAAATGCAAAACTGATCCATAATTTCCTTTTCAATTATTAATTTGTGCATGTCTTCTATGACAATAACACTAAGCTGATGGTAGAATAGATATACCATACATGTAACTTTTTGGCATCATTCCTGAATTATTAAATAAGAAATACTATTTATTTATCAATACAAGTGAGTGAGAATAAGGTAATACATGCAAGACTTGGACTGACTGTGTGCAGTGGATTGAATTCAGTCAGGCCTTGAATATTTAAAGTGTAAAATAAATGTCCTGGAAAAGGCTTTGGCCCGAGGCTGGGCTCTTGGGGGACAGTGACACATATTTAACAATGTATACTTGATTGCTCACTTAAGATGTCTGCTGTCCAAAGGGCATGGGAGAGGGAGCTTGGCAGCGACGGTCGGGAACTATTGGAAAATAATATGGTCCAACTGCAGAAGGTACACCAATAAATGTCTTCCTAATGACGACTCATCTGTATCCCTCTGTTCGAATCAGTGTGGACTGCAGCTGGCAGGGCTTACTGCAGCTAAAGAGACCTAACTGATCATTTGCTTTCTCCCCAGACTTCTGATGATTGAGTGCTGGATGGCCTCCGAGTGTACAGTATCCCTTGAGTGCACAATGGCATCAAATAATGGAGCCTAGGCAGCCACTGTGCTGGCATTTAGGGACCACCTTAAAAGGAGAGCTTTTCCCCCTCACACTCCTCCATGGCTAGGAGCCTAAATCAGAGCTAAGTTAGTGGACTGTGGACATGTGGTTGTACTTCATTCAATGATTTGTTTTAAAATATTTATTTAAAGTCTTCTGTTATTTGTATTTGCTTTGTAATTTATATTTTCCTTGTAATGCATCTTATCGCACTGTTGTTGTTGTTGTTGTTGTTGTTGTTGTTGTTGTTGTTGTTGTTTGGAAAGTCTTTTCTGTAATGAAAAACTTTTTGAAGAGAACTTAAAAAGTATTCATGTCAACATTTGGTAATCTTGAAGATCGTGATTTCTTACCTTATGATTATGACGACAAGCTCTGGTTATATAGCATTTGGTTTACGTGGTAATATAACTCAAGGAAATAGTTTAAACGTGTAAACTGAGACAGAATGTTCATTGTGACTTCCGCCGGAGAGTGTGTTTTGAGTAAGTAACCAGCGCCAGCAGGGGCCCTCCGGTCTTAAACAGGCGGTCTGCGCCTTTTAGTGACGGGGGACATTGTAACATGAGTCGGGATGAAAACTGTGCTCCGGATCCGGCAGCCAGTGCAGATGCTGTTCGCCAAAGACAGAGAGGAGGTGCATGATGGAACCCGTCCCGCTGCTGCTCGTCCTACTCTCATGTTTTCCGTGCGTCTCGGCAGTCTACACCGGGCCCCTCCAACCGGAGATCTCCAATGGCACCTTCCACCACTTCTTTGTCCCGGACGGAGATTACGAGGAGACGGTAGACCCGGAGGACTGCCAGATGCTGTTTAAATTCTCGGACGTTTATCCCTGTGGGGCCTCTGAAGAGAGGGACTCCGTGGTGAGGGACGACTTCATCATTTCCAAGCTGCAGGCGGAGGACACGGCGCGCCTGCTGGAGAGCATCGGCCGCACCGTGACGCACGACCTGGACGGAGAGGACAGCTACGGCAAGTTCCTCCAGAGGGAGATCTCTCAGATCGGCGAGGCTTTTTCAGACGTGGACAAGTCTCTGATGGAGCTGGAGGTAAAGTTTAAAGAAAGTCAGGAAACAGAGTTGAAAGATGAGCAGCAGCTGAACGGATATGTGATGAAGCAAGTGAGTGACATCCGGGGAGCTCTGAGGGAGACTACAGACATCTCCGTGGGGCTGAAAGATAAACACGAGCTGCTGTCTCTCGTCATCCGCAGCCATGGCACCAGACTGAGCCGCCTGAAGACAGAATTTCTCAATGTTGGCTCATAGTGTGCTTATTGAAAGCTTAGTGTGTGTGTTTGTGAGGGAATGTGTGGGTGTTTGAGAAACAGACCCTCCAGTTCAACAAACAACTGGAAAGTTATGTGTGGCTTATGAATAATATCTTGAATATCTCTGACCTTTGGTTACCCACTCCTTGAACATGTGACATTGAAGGAAGCTATAACACAAACATGAAGGTATTCCTCTGAGTCAGGAGGGAAATGTGAACATCAATCTGCATGGAGCCCTCTGTGCCACCTCTCGGGAAGAGTTTTTTTTCTCCAGAAGAGTATAAAGACTTCCAAGTGTCAGCATCTAAATCTATAGCAATTGTTTTGTCTGAATGGTTTAAATTATGTTGTGTATATACAATAAAATTGATACAATTTATGTTTATTATTCATACAATCTTAATTTCCCCTTTTACTTTAAAAAATGTTACTCATACTTTACTTATTTGTCCTGAGACACAAACTATACTTTACTTTTTAAAACAATCTCCACCTTTTGAAGTTTGAGGTTTACATAAACAGTAAAAAAAAACAAAAACGTTTGAAATCTGAACTTTTGATTTGTCTGTCACAGGTGTAGTTGGCACTTAAAGTGGCAGACCCGACTGTCCCGTTGAGTGGACTTGGTTAACTGACTTCTAAAGTCTATCATTGCCTCCCATTTCCATCTGGAAGTTATCTACTGGAAAATAAAGTATGTTTGTCCAAGGCGGCCACTGTCGTCATTATCTATTCCTTTCTCTTTCATGGTCTATAAAGTGTGTGGTTTATATGAAATGTCTTTGTGTTGAAATTCTGAGTGGTTTTGGATTATGTCACTGTACTAAAAATATACTTATAAATGACGAGCAGCTTGTTTAAATCTCTTACAAATTAAACCCTCTTGCTGTTCTGCTGTCAAAATACAAATTATGTTCAGAGACATTGTTTATATGGAGGAAAGTTGTTTTAAAATCTTATAGGCATTAACTCTACCCTGCAGGGTCACACAGACACATAAACCTACTCTCAGGATGTTTTCATTTGCACTGTCTTTAATTTAATATTTGAAATGCCTTTTGTAGAAATAAGTGTGCATGTTTCTGTTTTTAACTACCGTTTAAAACTCTCTTGTTCCTGTCAAAGTCTGTAACAACCACAGAGTAACTGCTATAAGCGTGCCCAATTTTACAGGTCGTGTCTGTGCAGATGTGAGGGAGCCAGATGGGCCGCCATGGGCCGCCAACTGGGTGTGATTTCCTCTGTCTGGTTTTCCTCACAGCCCAGCTTCCCCTTGGGGACCCTTTTTAAAAAACATTTCTCAGTAGCTCAGCACAGTGTTGGCCAACCCTGTCAAAAAACCCAGAGAGAAACCCTATATGGCTCCTAATTTCCAGAGGTACTGCACAGGGCTCACAAGATTTGATTGAATGATTGAAAGTTAGATATTTCCACTGAGTAAGGAAAAGGTAGAGCGTCTCACTAAACCCACACATGCTACTTAATTTGTCTTTTTTGGCTCAAACAGTTAGTTCCACCTATACAAAAATGTTTCCATTGATTTGTTTAAGGCCCCTTATGCTGAGATGGAGGAAGGTCTGAGCCTCAAGGACGCTGTAAGAAGAATTCATTCTCCTCGCTGAAAGATTCTAAGGACAAACAAAGAAAGGTCAGGAATGCAGAGTGAGGTTGACCTGAGAGCACTGATCCCTCTCTGTGCAGAAAATGAAGCCCTGAAACCACAGGCCTATACTGTGTTATTATTAGAAAGATGAGAGCTATTTGAGAGCTGCTACTAGTCCCACCATTATTATCCCTGCAATGAATACTATCGGATAATACTACTAATAGTGTAACCATCTGTCAGCTACATCTGCCACTAAATGTTTTACAGTATGCAGGAGTCCTTGTTGAAAAAAAACCTCACACTTGAATGACAATAGAATGATTTTGACAACATAATTCTAAATTAAAAGGAAATTGTTTCCACCTTTAATCTGATATCTAATCAGATTTGAGGGTAATACATTTGAAGCCATCAGCCCCTCAGTGTCTGCTAAATTGACCAAGAAAGATGAGTTCATTGCTGCAAAATATGTTCTTCTTCCTGCATCCAGCAGCATCATTTGAACTGACAATGATACATTTGTTGATAGTAAGAGTTTCCGCCTCTGAGTAACCAGAGCCTGGGATCTCGATGGCACTCAAAAACAAAACTTCATCGTGTTGAAAACTAGCTCATTTTGCAAAAATAACACCCCAGACAATGACAATGTTGTGGACAGAGATACATTTGACAGCGTTCACATTGGCTCAGATTCTCAGCCATATTTGTTTGCGCCAGACTGTATGGCTGAAGAAGTCAGAGAGAGGCTGAGGCAAGAGGATTAGCCGAACCTTCAGGCAATGGTTTCTGGTACATGTAAGAGAACTCATCTTTCTCAGTCAACACACACTAAGGATTATAATGCTTCAATTGGACATTGGAATTTGGACATCCACATAGATGGCGGATACATTTCCCTTTCAGGTTAACTTTCTGGCTTGATCAGGAGGATTTTGACTTAATCTCATGGTCCTCGTCAACCTGGTTACTACGCTTTTTTTCCCGGAGCTTTCAAAAACTCCCACTGGGCAAAAAACATTCTCTGATGAAGACCATGAAATGTGGTTAAAAGCTTTAGAAATGGTTTAGGAGTGGATCTTGAGTTAAGATAAGTCATTCTTTAACTACAATCTGGATAAAGTATACCCCTTTTACCAAAAGTAAAAGTGTGATTTATGAAGAAATACCCATCTTAAAATAATGTTATTTGGTTATATTTATCCATGTGTTCATCACATTAATGTTGCAGCCGGTAAAGGTGGAGCTTATCATAGCTTTAAATACTTTTGGTGACAATAAATTATATGACATTGTCATAAACTATGACTATATAATATAATTTATGATTTATATATATTATTATTATATATATTTGATATTGAAGTGAAGTAACTTGTAACTTATACTATCAGTTGAATGTAGTAGGGTTAAAGATACAATTGAACCTCCAAAATGTAGTGGACTAGAAGTACAAAGTACCTCAAAATGGTAGTTAAGTAAAACACCTTGTGTAAATGCACTAGGTTGCTTTCCAGCACTGCTCAGCCAGACATGCACTCATGCTCACTTTTGAAGCACTGGCCATTTAAAAAAACACATCACAGTTCAGGGTAATTATTTCCACGACATGTTTCTGCCAGCAGTAGTCACTGTGCAGAGTGAACTGTGACATATGACTGAGCTCATGAAATGTAATGCACTCTTTAAATAGCCAGGACTTTGTGTAAGTAAGAGGGCCTTAAATTACTTTTTAATACAGTGGGCACATCCAGGAGGTGCAGGTGTTCTGTGTCACTGTTACCAGACAGAGTTCAGAGCAATGCAGCAATGTAACACTGCAAAAGGACCTCTTCTTTAGTATAGGTTTAAGATGTATATGTTATTCAAAATTAAATTCTTACTTTTAAACGTATCAAATAATGTATAATACTTACAAAAGCAATGTCCAGTGGCCACTATGGTTTAATCCAACGACAGGGATGTCCTTCTAGGTTGCAGCGGAACATTATAAATCTGTAAAGACAACAAAATGGGATATTAGCAACGCAATAGTACAAAGGAGTTGCTAAGTTTGGAGGTTTTGTAAGTTTGGGTTGCTTACATTTGCACATTGAAGTGTTCAGAAGTGGTTATACAAAATAGACTCCTTGTAACACTAACAGAAACAGCTGCTGTTGATGCTTTGACTCCATTAGCAAGCCTCTCTGCTGACATACCAGTGGACTCATGTCATAATGCAAGAGAAAAGATGACCTCAAATACGTTTATATGGCGTCTGTTCAGTGTTATACAGCAAGAAAAAATTGTTTTGCAAGGCTGTTTTATTTTTCAAAAATATTTTGATGGGAGTAAGACCTCAAGAACAACAACACATTTTCCTCAAACACAGTTTGGTCTTAATGTTCATATTTTCCTTGAATAAACACAAATGCATCTGCATACAATTCAAAAAGTACATGTACATAATTGTTTTAAATGGGTACATAATGATACACAGTTGCCCTTTTGTGACGTTACACATCCATATTTTGATACAGATTTCAAAGTTGTGCTATTGATTGTCTGCCAGTGTTTATTTTTCTCTTTTTTTCTTCTCCCACTGGCAGACTTTACAGGAGGACATTTTGTATAACTATTATCCCCTTGAAGAGCAAGCAATTAACACTGAACAGTTCATTCGTAAAGAGAGGACAGGGGGAAAGCACCAGAGGAACTGAAATCGTCTTCAGCCAAATGTCTCCTCTTTTTATTTTCATGTGAGCGAGAGTCCTGTGCTTTCTCTGTGCCAAGCTGTGTGAAGGCTTTCCTGAGTCCCTGTGTGTAACTGTCTGTGGAGCAGGGCTCGTCACGGCTTCAGGATGAGACAGGTGTCTGTTAGATGTGCATCGGCCTGTCACACACATCCGTTCTCTGGCCTGGGCTTGTGCACCACTGGGGTGTGTGGAGGGTAGAGGGAAGGAGCGAGTGTGCACAGGAAGCCAGCCAGCAGCGTCAGGCCCAGTCCGCCCCAGGCACAAAACATGGACCAGCCATAACCGTGACTGATGTCCTCTGGTATTCCAAACATGTAGCGAGGATAGCGGGACAGTTCAAAGTTGATGCCAGCCACACATGTGCAGAGGGAGATAATGCAGCATGTCCCTGCCAGAGAGGAGAAGGAATACAAAGTCAGACAACCCATTTGAATTCCTCTGATGCACCACCCTCTCTTTCACAAAGACTTGACTGCCCCTCTGTGGTGATGCAGGGTAGTGTTCTCTCTTCATACCTTACCTCCCATGAGGAAGAGGAGTCCGGCCACATACTGCATCAGATCATGCTCCTTGCAGCAGCCCAGCACGCCTATGACCCATCCGAACAGGATGATGGATATGGCCATGCCTATGAAACTGGCAGTCATCCTCTGGAGGTCTGCAAAGAGAAGCGACATTGTTTGTTGGTGCCAAGTGTCTCTATTCATCAGATTAGGAAAAAATGCATAATGAGCAACTCACGGAGCGCGTGCCACTCATCCTGCCTTATTGTCTTAGTCAGAGTGATTGGCAGGTTTTTGGGCAGCGTTGAAGATGAGTAGTAGTATTTTATTCGTGTGCAGCGTGGAACCAATCCTGTGGATGTAAACAACACAAAGAGGATGTCACATAAGCACTGAGATCAGATGAAGAGGATATCACAAGGCTCTCTGCTGCCACCCCCTTCCCTAAAAAAAATAAAAACACACACAACCCCCTTCTACCACCACCCACCCATCCACCCACACAGCATTGTGGAGTAGCTTATTGTACTCATCTCTCGGGTTCTGTTACCACAGCTTGCCCATTTCGTGCTCGAAACAACACGGAACGTCGACCTGTACTGTAATACTGCGTAGGCCTCGAGGGTCTGTGCGCAGCATCAGTACCTTGGATAGCGCATTCGTGCACAAAGTGTTCACTGACAGCGCCTCGCACACAACAACACAGATGTGCAGAACAAACACAGTTCAGCAGAAAATATGCCCATTAGAAACCAAACCTTTAAAGATAAAATCCTCTATCTCCAAGTCAAATCCCCCTCGGTGGCACTTTCTCCACAGCCCGGTGATGGTGGAGTTGAACTGCCGACTGCAGAGGGACTCCATGGCCGGGGCAGGAGGCAAGAAGTGCCGCTTAGCCCGCAGCAGCGTCTCGCCGCTCCTCCACTCCACATTTCTCTCTTTTGGCAACATGCGAAGTGGAAGGTTGTTGTTGGAGATGTAAATGTAGCCGGGATCGTTTCTTTTGTTTGAGTAATTCTTGCAGCGCTCCCGGTGCCTCCTCGCATCAGTCTCGTACCAGTTGTCCGTGCTGATCGCCACTGCTATCAGTCCCAACGCGCAAAATGCCAAAAAGAGACCTGCCACGGTTAAAGTCCTCATAGCAGCCATGTTCCATCCGTATCTCGCCTCGGTACCGTGATAGATCCACGGGACAACAGGGCTCCGCTCCTGGCTGCTGCTGCTGCTGCTGCTGCTGCTGCTGCTGTCACTATACTAGTTGAGGTGGGGAGCAATTTCAGCAATACATGGAAATCTGAAATTCCGATGAATCCCTGAAGCCATCATTCCTCAAAGGTGTCAACTGATGACGAAATAAGCCACATTCCGATGCGGGGGACAAATAAATATGGGCCTCGATGAGCTATTTTGGTTGTCTCCTCTCCTCTCTGCCTCTGAACTCAGTCTAGCCTAGATACTGGTCAGTCCAATATTTTCTCCCAGTAGATGGAGCCAGAGTAAATGTTTGAAAGCACAAAAAGCCCCAGAGCTGCACTTACAGTGGAGCATGATCTGAGAGGATGGCTGAAGTTTGACACAGTCACTACAGGAAGTACCCACCCTCAGCTCAAGCTTCATATGTTGTATCAACTCGGCTGCTGTTGTCTAAAATGTTCAGTTATGAAACACTTGAAGAAAGACAAATTAAACCAAACACTGGGCCTCATTGTCCTCTGTCTGGTAAACAGGAAACAGTTTCATCACATCCAGCAGATTGCCTCTGGTAGCTTCCATCCCAACAAGGCAAAACATATCAAACAAAAGTATATAATTTTCATCATTGTTTGATTTGACATAAAGTATCATTTATTTGTAAAGCCTTAAAAAGTGGTCCTCTAGTATCTACCATTAAATACAATCATAAAGTATTACTTTTAAGATCATAATGTCTAACATCTAGCAGGAATATTACAACACAAAGAAAGGATACAGTGGCTCCGGACATTTCAGTCATGTTTCACTGGTTTCATTCTCATGGTCAATACTTCCTCAATTTAAACCATAATGTCAAACTAAAAGAGGAACAAGCTCGAATCCAAACTTTTATTTTTGGTTTCAGCTCCTATGTGCAGTAGCTCTCATGTGCTATGAGTAAACTTGGCAGGGATTTAGTTGTGATTAATATTAAGAAAAAAAGCAAATCATATTTTCTTGTACCGCAAGTGTAAGAAAGCCTGATTTGTGTTAAATTAAATAACAATTTAAATGTCTTAAGGTTTTTCTAAGGTCACATCACTGCATCCTGACAAAGGGGGAAGTTGAGGCATACAGGGCACCATTGAGTATGTGTGATAACAAGAAACGTCTATTTTAACAGTGTGACTGTTTGCACAATCATTTTTGGATAGTTTATATATGCCTATAGTTTTTTTGTACAGTTAAGTGAAAACATAATGTTTAAACTACACAATACCTGCTGCTATAACCATTTCTCTGCAATAACAAAGTGTTTTAAATAATTGAAGATCAACTGTATCCGCCTATAATCTACTCTCAAAAAAGAGGAATCATTGTGAGCCCTTGCACAAATACCTCTTTTATAATGCAGGAAATGCATGTACGTATGATTGGCTAGATGACATTCGGCCATCAGGAACTATCTGATCATATGAATTAGACAATTGGTTGATATGAACGCAGACAGTGTAGGGTCCAGCTTGTTTCTCACTTTCAGTTCCCTTTTGTCTGGTGAAACCATCGACGTCGCGTGTTTCGGTGAAGCAATAGGAAAAAGTTAACGTTCATTACAAACTTTAAGAACCAAGACTCTCATGCTGTCTTGTTTACATGATGGAGGGATATGTCATATCATCTGTAAGTGCTGCTGCTTCATTGTTAATTGGCTTGTCTTTGATCATAGTTTGTGAAATGTAGGATATTTTTCCATTTGTTCTACTGTTTTTGGGTTAACATGGCAAGTAATCAAGTAATTCAAGTGACCAAAGTGTGGCATTGAATTTAGTTGATTGATTAACATGAAGGCTTTGTTTGTGAGTTTTGCTTGTGTTAAATGCGGACGTATATATTTATTTTTGCTGTGAAAATTATAATTGTTGCTGCGAAATTATCTCCTAACAGTACTTGCCCTCATGTGGACTTATGTATTTCCCTTGGGGACCTCTGTTCGGTTTCTTTATTCTATTAATGTTCTTGTCTTTATGTTGAGATTAATAACGATCAAGCCATGTAAATTCTAGTGCATCAGCTAATTGAAATATTTTTTTCTTAATTTTGCCAGTACAAATAGACTCAAACATTTACTTTGTCTGTGACAAAATCTACTTTTTCTCCAATACAAGGTGTCAGAGGGAATCATTCCGAATGAACCAGAGAGTTATCGCCCCCCTACAGAGCTGTACCCCTACCTCACTAATGTGGGGGAGATATATGAAGGTGAGACGATTGGTTTCAACAGTAGCAAAAATCATCACACTACTGAGTGCCTTACCTTCAGTCACTTTTCAGACCACAGATGGACTTTCCACACGGAGCGTGTCCACCCGACAGACTTTGAGAATTCTCCGGTGAATCACCTCATAGAGCTTCAGTCCGTGTCTCCTCAGCAGCTGGTGCAGCCGTACCGCTTCAGCAGCGAGTCGCTGCCCCTTCACCTGGACCCGCCACTTGTTCCTCTCTCTGTGTCACCACAGGTGAGTTCATGTGTAGAAATGAGAGAGGAAACTACTGTGCAATTGACTAAATCTTTACATATGTGACTTTTGAAATGATAAGAAGAGGTTCAGCAAGTTAAAGAATGTATTCAACGTAATCTTATTATAAACAGTAGCATTCCTTTTTGCACTGAGGTAGCAATATGTCTGTCAAGTGTTCAATGAAGCCACTGATTCATTCAGTCCATAACATGTCAGAACAATTTGGAAAATGTCTAGGATTATTTTTCAAAAAGCCCAAGTTGACTCATTCAAACTGCTGGATGTATCCAGCCAACTTTCTAAACCACAATATATATGTTGACTAGGATAAAAGACACAGAGAAATCAGCAAGCATGCACAAATAAAAGCTGAAATAAGGGAATTTTTGTTTCACAGACAAAAAAAACACTCCTTTCGTAACACTTTTGCTGATACTTTACATAAAAGTGTGGAAATATATGCTCCAGAATTAATTACTAGGTAAATCAGAGAGGGTTCTTTGGACTGAATCTATTGCTGCAACCATAATAACAAAATATATTTTAGGAAAAACTCTTGAAGAAAACGACATGGATTTAGATAATACATAAAAGCACTTTTATCTTTCCAAATACAGTGCATGATTTGGACAGTCTGGAATATGTTCGCTTAAATGTCATCTACATCACATGGTTTTACAGACTATTGAATTCTATTTTGGCAGACTTACTTCCTCTTTTGTACAATGGGGTAAAATGTCAGACGTTGGGCGATTGCAAAACAAAATAAATGTGCAGCTCTATCAGTCCTCTGTGTAAACTTCAAACATGCTTTACATTTCTCCCAAAGATCCCATATTACACCCCATCCATGTGCTACCAGTACCAGGCATCTGCCTCTCCTGGACGTTACTACTCAGAAGAGGAACAGAGAGGAGTCAGCCCTCCGTTCGAAGTATCAGAAGGAGAGGATGAACGAGAAGAACACAAACACTCCTTCAGGAGGGACACTAGTGAGTATTTCCAAGGCTTATGACATCAAGTCCTAATGTCCTGAAATCTCACGTACACATAAAACCTGGGGAATCTGATGACTGCCGGACAAAATTGTGTAAACAACTTTTATATTTCCCAACACAGGCAACAAGAAGAAAATCCGCTTGTACCAGTTCCTCCTGGACCTGCTAAGAAAAGGTGACATGAGTGACAGTATCTGGTGGGTGGACCAGGACAAGGGCATCTTTCAGTTCTCCACAAAACACAAAGAAGTCCTGGCCAGCCACTGGGGTACTCAGAAAGGAAATCGCAAAAAAATGACCTATCAAAAAATGGCTCGAGCTCTGAGGAACTATGGTAAATCTGGAGAGATTAAGAAAGTAAAGAAGAAGCTAACCTACCAGTTCAGTGAGGATGTGTTGAGGAACCTCTATTTACGTCAGTATCCTCACTGATCAGGGAACAAAGGCTGTCTGTCATCGCGATGAAATCTCTGAACTAGCCATGATTGCTTTTTGTTTTCAAATTTAACTTTGTTTTACTGCCAAGTTTTCTTGCCTATTTATTTTGGATGTTAGTGTATATCCTCTTTGGCAAAGCTTTTTAAGACTGTGGACCTCCAATCAGAGGAAGTTTGAAAAATAGGCCCTCTTAGTTTACTTGGATTTGCTCGATTCCTGGAGGCTAATGGGAGCATTAATATGTTATTGGATCCGATAGAGACTCAACCATTCAGCCAAGACCGCATTATATTGTTGTTTGACATAACAACAGACTAGATCAAATATGTAAAAAAAAGGTTTGTCTTAAACTACCCCCAAAGTATCTTTACTATCTCTTTAACCATATTATACACATTTAGGCTATTCTATGAGATATTTTTTTGCTATGCAATTTAATATGTGTTCACTTCTACTCACTAAGTCCGACCTCAAACTGTTTGAAGCCCCACTGGAAGCCCTTCTCAAACTTTACAAAAAACCTCTGCTCCACAGCATTCACCTCCATAAACGTCCATATTAAAGACTCAGAGTTGGGCCGTGTAAATTATTTTGTTAAAAGAGAATTCAACTTTGTGGACAGCTAAAAAAAACACAAATATTGCAAATGTTTTTTAAGATATGTTGTTATAAATGTGTGTAAATAAATACTATTTTGTATTCTTATTCTGTCAAATTACTCAACTGAATCTGGGTTAAAACCGTGGGTCAGACCAGCACACGTCCTAGCTACAAGTCCTTATCATACATCCATGGTCCTAGCCCTCAGTAGATGTGTTTATGTTTTAGAGTTGCAACAGTTGTGTCACTTATCAATTAGTCCATTGATAGAAAAATAATCGACAATAATCAAATTAGTTGTTCAAGTAATTTTTCATGCAAAAGAAAGATTTAGCCTGATAGGAAACATGGGTACAAATTAATATCTTGTTGTTTTTAAGTCTTGTTAAAATTGGAGAGCAACATACAGATGCAATCATGTAGAATATACAGTAGGCTACACTTATGTTGATATACTATTAATGAGTCATGATGATAAGACAAACAGACAGTGGCGACTGGCCATTAGGGGCAGGCACAGCCCCACCTAGTGTCAGCAGAAAGTAATTCAAATAATAATTCCAAATAAATGCAAATAAATGCAAAAACAATACATCCTAAAATATATTTTAAGATCAAGTGTAATGATCTGATTCCTCTGTACATTGCTGTTTTAGTCTGTGTTCTTCTAATTAGTGTCTACAGTGTGCCTATTGAGCCGTTTTGAGCGACGTGGGTCAAGCCCCGATCTAGCCCCGATCTAGCCCCTCTCTCTCACTGTCTAAATCAGTGGTCTGCAACCTTTTTGACCAAAAGAGCCATTTTCCCCCCTTTTCCAACAATTTGTTTTAGCTGGAGCCGCAAAACATATTTGATAGCTTATAAAGTTGTATTTATTGTTATATCATAGACAAAAACTACAGTTTTTTTGCATTTATTATTTATTATATTATAAAATTGAGTACAAAGAACTCTTAAATAAATAATACACAGGCCTACTTTAAAATAAATTAAACACAGCACTTGAGGAGTCCTCTGCACATTTGAAGGAAAAAAATCCCTATTAAAATCGACCCACTTTGAAATAAATAAAACATATAGCTGCACCCTAAAAAGAGTTTACTGATTTAATTTTTTGGAATCTGTTGGGACTGAAAGGTGGGGTAGGTAAGTTTGAGAAACCGGCTCGAGATACACTTTTTGTTATATTCCATGGAATGCTCTTAACATCCCGATAGCAATGAATATCTTAAGTGCTTTGAGAAAAAACCCATTAAAAAATGTCATCTGTGGAAGCCATAGTACTGTAAAAAGTTTTGCGAGATCTCGCAAAGGTTTTGCGATATCTATCAAAGGTTTTGCGATATCTCGCAAAACTTTTTTTTTACAATTTCTTTTTCTTTTCTTCTCCATGTCCCCTAGGGGGCTCCGTAGTAAACATACATAAAGGCATTAAAGAGTAGAGTCTACACCAGGGGGCAAAATGGAAGGAAACATCCATTTAAACTCAGTTTGCTGCTGTGATGCTGGTTCAAGCCAGATACTTGGCATCTCATCTTCGTTGCAAGTTCATCAATGTTTATGATAAATGCTAGGTATGTAATTCTTACGGCAAAAAATTTAGTTACGGAAAACCGAAAACGTTCTATAAAATCAAAGGGTTTACTAAATCGATTGACAAAATTTGCTCATTTTTTTTCATTTTCACCACGAAATTTTATTTCATCCAGTCTAGATAGATTTTTGTATTAAATTAATTTAATTAAAAAAGTCAACATACACAGCCAAAGTCTGTATATAAATTTTTGGACGGGAAACCAAGACACAAAGGGTCAGATAAAACCAGACCCAGACTGAGTATCTGCATAGTCTTAGTCTTAGTCTTATGGAAATAATCAGGGTGTCTACCCTGTAAACGTCGCAATGTCGTCCTTTCTCGGTGTCTGTCGAATCACAACGTATAGACTTTACGTAATTTTTTCATGGATTTCAATATTATATTATTTGTTTGTTGTGTTGTTATACGATTTTTTCATGATTCAATATTATATTATTTGTTTACGATTTTTTTTTCTATTCCAATGTATTAAAAAAAGTTTTTATAGCCTATTTTTTGTTTAGTTTAGGACATCGTCAAGAATTTCCTAAATCGTCGGGCATATATAATGTCAATAATTTCCACGTATAACCGATCATATTTCATATATAAGCGGGTGTAATTTCGTGTATAACGTGGTAATCAAACTTGGCACTAATAGTAAGTAACATATATAATAACATATAATAACATATATATTTCAGACTGAGTCGGGTCGACCGAAACGGGACGACAACGGAGTTAACAACGAACCGGGGAAGTCCGAGTCCAACAATAATCGGATCCGAGTCCCCGCGCGTAGGGTATAAGACGGGTAACGGTTCCTGGGGGGTATATCGTAATAGAGAACACCTGCGGGGGACAAAGCATTAAAAAAAATTTACTTACTCGGATGCACATAACTACCTTTTATACTGTTTTACTTAGCTATGTCGAATTATGGTAAAAGACATTGCAATATGATAAGCCACCAGTAATTATGTATTATTATTAAAGTTTATTAGGTTTTTTTTTTGACAATAAAGAAAGATTAAAAAAAAAACATAAATAGAAACAAACCACAGTAAGTAACTGTGAGTAACGACAGAAGACAATATTTGTAAGAATTGCGTTATAATTTGTCATTATAGTGTGCCTATTTGTATAAAAATTCGTAAAAATTTCCTCTCAAAAAAAGACAGAACATACTTATAATCCATAGTAAAACTTGTCATTATAAAAACTTGTTACATTGTATATAAACAATCCGTAAAAAACTTTTCCGGATGGAATACGGAATTGATTCCATATATATAATTATAACAGTTGTACGATTATAATTGTTATTTGTATAACCATCATAAGTATATCCATATATTTGTTATAAACCGGATGTAGTCGGACGGAGAGTAGGTCGGCGACGTCGTCGGCTTTATAAGTGAATCGAGAGTGACAACGAGGTTTCGGACCCCTCCGTCTAATGAGTCGGGCCAAAGTGAGGAGGCCATCGCCGTTCGAGGTCTAAGACTAAGACCGCCAACGTTCCACGCCCAGACATCCACCTAAAATTCTTTGTTTTTTTTATCTTTCTATTCTATAATTCATTTATTTTTATAATTTTCTAACCCGTAGTTTCCTGTGCTATCCCTAACGTAGTCTCATCACGGTGCAATATTTTTTTTGTACATGAAAATTGTTTTATTATTAATAAGGGGGAAAAGGGAGCTTTGAAATTACACTGGCCGGCGTTGGGGCCCACCCCAGACCGCGTGAAACCTTTTTGTGACCGGATGCGGAGAGGGAACTTAACGGAAGGTAAAACGGGAACAACCACACACATAATGGTCTACACAGTTTGAAGGGCCCGGTTTAAGTCCGGGGGAACCACCTAAATTAAACCCGCCGCCGTCGCTATTAAAAATTAATGATAGAGCCTAAGACCGTNGAACACAGTGTAGCGAACGCGCCCTCTGCTGGTCGGAGTTAGTCACTACATACTGCGAGATGACACTACATTTTTCAAACAATAAACCAACCATTCCTTATCAGAAAACACACAGACAATTCTCACCACACTCTGAACATGAGCTGTACTAAATGCAAATCATGTTAACCATGTAATTACTAATAATTTAGGTATATCAACCCACTGATGGCTCTGTATGCCACACATTCACAATACGTTACATTGACCTCAACAACGATATTGGATGAATATTGTAATACTGCTTTGTTTCAGGGTCTTAGAGCGACCCACCCCCTGACCTAATAAATCCAAAGTATTAGCCCCTCTTTTGCAACCCAACACTTCTAAATATTTCACTCTTTGCTGCTCAGGTTGATTTAAATAATGAATAATAATTGCATCATTCTATTAATAAAATGATTGAAACACATTGGAAGATGGAACAGTCCTGAAATGATTCGTAGAAAAACTTTAGTTTGTGATTTTGTGATGTTGTTGAGGATGAATAAAACAGCCGAGGTATTAAGTGTTGTATTTAAATGGTAGATGAAAAGACTTCCATCATACCTAAGTGTGGTACAAATGGACATATGTTGTGTTGTTTTATTTTGAATACACGCAAATGTGGTGTTTGTCTTTTCCAGTAATGGGTCTCTTTTGAATTGACATAAACATGAAGACATCAACACGATCTGATGTATGTATATTTCTTGTGGTATGTGTTGTTTGATTCTTCATTCAAATAAAGTGAAACAAAGGGCAATACTGTGTGGGTTTTAATATGGTTGGAATAAAAGATGCCCTTTTATTGGACGACCTCTTCAGACTGCATATAGACTGAGAGTGCTGTGACCTTAAGCGCCCCCTAACCACTGGAAAGCCCTTCACTGGAACCACCTCGCCCCCGACAAGTGCATAATCATTTTAACAGTGGCTGCTAAAACCCTCAGATAGTTCTGCAGGTTACCATAACGTGCCTTCGCCCTTATTTTTAAATGTACTGTAGCTATATACAGAGAATGATTCATGCTCTAAATTGTCTGTTGTTGGAGGTGAAGGCGGTTTGTGTCATCTTTTAGCTAAGAAATACAAAAGTAAAAATCCTATCTTTCTTGAAATGAAAACAAGACCTTACGTAGTTGTTAAAATGGGACAACGAGCTTCAGGGGAATTTACCATTTACAGTCAGGAAGTGTGAGCGGCTCCACTGAGGGGACCTGAAACACAGAGCCCCCTGGGAAATATATGCTGTGTTCTTTATGGAAGATTTATGACTGTTTATGTTGGGCTTGGTATTTAAACAAAACAAATGGTAAATACTGGAGCCATGTTATAAAAGTAGGCTGGATAGCAAAGGAAGTAAAATGTCAAATGTGCTGAACAGATAATAAAAAAGGAACAAAGTTGATATGACTTATGGAGGCTGTTAAAATGTATTGTAAGACCAGCCATTGATTTACTTTTAGATTTTAAATGTGTGTCATGAGAAGCTTTTCTGTCTATGTTTCTACCTTCATAATTCAGGGCCTTGAGAATTGCAATGTCCA